ATATTATATTATATTATATTATATTATATTATATTATATATAACCTAAATGAGAGAGGGTAGTGGCTCAGACCAGGGTAGCAACATTCAAGGTGCTGAGAAGCTGTTGGATTCTGGATTTAGCTACATGGTTGTGTAAATGTGAGGAGGTATAAGAGAGAGGAGTCCTGGTGACTTACAGGTGTTTGGCCTGAAAGGCAGGAAGAATGGAGCTGCCATCCACTGAAGTAAGGAGGGCTTTGCATAGAGCAGGTTTGGGGAGGAAGGTTAAGACTTCCTTTTTTAATATATTGTATCTGAGATATCTGTTAGACATCTAAGTGGAGACGTTTAATAAGTGGGTTCTATAAGTCTGGAGTTTGGGACCAAAGTTTGGGGAGAATATTAAAATTTAAGAATCATTGACATATCCTTGTATTCAGAGCCAGGAGACTATACGAGGTCACTAGGAGAATGAGCATAGAGAAGAAGAGGAGGAACCAGAAAAGGAAGCTGAGAAGGAATAACGAAGGAGATAGGAAGAACACTAATTGTATTTAGTTTTGCCAGCTAAAAATCATGTATTACATGTCAGATGATGCTGATATGTCAAATAAGATGAGGACTAAGAATTGACTGCTGAATTTAGGATTGTAGGAGGTCATTGATAAGACAATTTTCAGTGGATTGAAGAGTGAGCTTTGACTTGGCAGTTCCACTGTTAGGTCTGTGCACGCTAGAGAATCACAAGGGACGTGTATCTTTACTGTAGCACTTATATGAAAGAAAAACCCTAAGAGGAGTCCATTATTAGGGGAATGACCACCACTGATGCATGCTAATTAAGGAAAAACAAAAGAGGTAATAGGAGTAGAATTGGAGAGGGTGAGTATAGACAATTCTTTTGAGGAGTTTTGGCACAAAGAGGAACAAATAGGAAGATGGCTGCCAGGGGAAGCTGGTCAAGAGGGTTGGTTTTGTTTTTTAAGTTGGGAGAAATAATAGCACATTTACACTCTGATGAGGATGAACCAATATGCAAT